ATCATGGGGGCAAAGAACATGGAGAATTGATTTTCCCCTCCCTGGGGGAATGGACAATAACAACAGCTAACTCATATAGTATTTACTGTGCGTGCTCAGTTGTGTCCAACTCTTTGTAACCCCATGGACTGTAGCCCACAAGACTCCTCTGTCCATGGGATTTCTCAGGCAAGAATACTGGAGTGGGTTGCCACTTCCTCCACCAGGGAATCTTCCTGGCCCAGGGATTGAATCCATAATTCCTGCATTAGTAGGCAGATTCTTCACCGCTATTCCACTCACTGTGTGTACTCAGCCCCTTCAGTCACATCCAATTCTTTTGCAACACTATGGACTGTAGCCCGCCAGGCTCCTCTGTCCATGGGATTCTCCAGGCAAGACTCCTGGAGTGGGTTGCCATGCCCTCCTCCAGGGGATCTTCCTGACCCAGGGGTTGAACACACTTCTCTTACGTCATCTGCATTGGCAGGCGGGTTCTTTACCACTAGGGCCACCTGGGAAACTCTACACATCCTTTAATTCTCACATCAACCATGGGAGTGAGTGCTGTCATTCTACCCATTTCACACATAAGAAAACTTCGGGCTTTGATTCCAGAAAGATGGTTCCAGAGTCCATATTCTTAAACACTAATTACTATTCCTCTTTGAGAAATGCCGGATCAATCTGGGCCTCAGAAGACAAATAGAATCTCCTCAGAAAAAGAAGGTCAGTTTAAGCAGATAGGGTAGTGTGAACTACAGCACAGTGTAAACTGTGACTATGAAAATGTGCTGTATGCTTGAACTAGGACAAGAATTTTCTATGGGTGCATTTGGGGCCAGGGTGGAAAAGAGGGCTGAAACATTAGATTGGGGCCAGAGTGTGAATGGCCTCAAATGGCCTGCTAAAGAATTTGTACTATAGCCTTCAGGCAAAGGGAAGCTGCTAAAAGCTTCAGAGCAGAAGAATAACATCAAATTTGTGTTTTGAAAGAGAATGAAGACGTGCCTACCTGCCTACCGTGAAACAAACACCTGGCAAATTTCCTGTGTCTCCATTCTCAAACAAAAGACCATTTGATTCATGAATATTGTACTAAAACCACGTTACATCAACAGATTTGGGACAAACTGTGCTGTAGATTTAGGTTTCAATCTCACAACTTCTTTTTTTAAGATAGGGAAAGATTTTTTAATCAAAACACAAAAAGCACCAATCATAAAAAGAAAAAGTGACAAACTGGACTACGTTAAAACTAAGGACACTGCGCTGCCACAGTAGGGAGCACAGGTTCAATTCCTGGTTGGGGAACTAAGGGCCCACATGATGCAAAGTGCAGCCAAAACAGAGAAAGAGGCTTTTAAGAGAGTAAAAATGTAAGCCACACACATGGAAAAGGTATTTCCAACACCTGTAACTGACAAAGGGCTTATTTCTAGAACATGCAAAGAAGTTCCATCAATTAAAAAGGAAGACAATCCTATAAAGAAAATGGGGGAAAGATGTGAATGAATACTTCACAAAAAGCTTACCCAGGTGACTATTAAACATAGAAAAGCTGTCAACCTCAGTCAGTCAGTCAGTCAGTTCAGTCGCTCAGTAGTGTCCGACTCTTTGCGACCCCATGAATCGCAGCACGCCAGGCCTCCCTGTCCATCACCAACTCCCAGAGTTTACTCAAACTCATGTCCATCGAGTCGGTGATGCCATTCAACCGTCTCATCCTCTGTCGTCCCCTTCTCCCTCTGCCCCCAATCCCTCCCAGCATCAGGGTCTTTTCCAAGGACATCAGGAAAATACAAATTAAAATTACAATAAAACAAAGAGCTGAGATGAAAAGACTAGCATGGGTGACAAGGTGGAATAAAGACCCCCACAGGCTGCTGGTGGTAGAGTAAATTAACAGAACTTTAAGCAGACACATAATTCCTAGGAAAGTACCCAAACAAAATGTACATGCTTGAGCTCCAAGGGCCATGACAAAAATGTTGAGAGCTTTACTCTCAGTGACTCCGAAACTGGAAACAGCTGTAAGTGTCCACAAAAGAATAGACAAAAGTGATAAATTTATAAACTAGAATATTCTACAGTAATGAAAATGAGAGTACTATATCTACATGCAAGAGTATGAATAAGTCTCAAAAACATAATATTGAATGAAAGAAGCCAAACACAGAAGAACACATGGTTTATGATTCCATTTATATAAATTTCAAACACAGGCAAAACCATTTTTACAGTGAAAACATAAAGATATTATTTATCTTTGATTATCTTTGGGGGAGGCAGGGAGGGTCTGATTACAAGAGGGTTTCTGGGGTCCTTTGTTGTTGCTTAGTCACTGAGTCATGTTCGAATTTTTGCGACCCCATGGACTGTAGCCCGCCCCGCTCCTTTGTCCCTGGGAGTCTATACTGGAGTGGGTTGCCATTTCCTTCTCCAGGGGATTTTTCTGACTGGATCGAACCCATGTATCCTGCATTGGCAGGCAGATTCTTTACCACTGAGCCACCTGGGAAGCCCTAGCAATGTTCAATTTTTTGACCTGGGTTATGGTTATTCTCCGGTCACCTGAGTCTTATATTCATTAACTTATTTCTACCCAATTTCCCACATTTTTACTGAATAGAAAATTAGAGAAAACCATGATTAAAAAAGAGAGAAGCAAAGTGACCCTTCTCCAGGTCCTGAATTTAGTTCCAAAGAGGTCAAAGCTTTTTTTCCACCAGCTTAAAATGAGAACTTCCATGATGACACTTTTACTTTTGTTTCTTATCAGTAATTTTTTTTTTTTACCTCCTCTTAAATACATTCAAGTTAAATGACAAGCTCAAGATCTGAAAAATCAAGCAGTAACTAAGTCCAGACTGCTTCTGGCTTTATGAGAGCACAACTGACACCATTGTGTCATGAGGAAAAGTAAAGCCTTTTCCTCTTGTGCTTTGACAGGAAGGTTAGAAAATTCTATAGGGAATAGCATTCTTCTAGGTGAAAACAGGTCTGAGAAACTACTAACTAGCCACAGGCAACTCACTCCTTTGAAGGGAGGCCCTAAGACACCTTATAGCACTTCCCCTGGGCTTCCTTAATGGGAGCAGATCAAGCGTCACTCCAAAGCAGAGACAAGACATTAGCAGGAAAACCAAATGCTCAGAGCGCCATGGAGCCGTAAAAAGAAAAACTTGAAGTTCCTGGAGGGAATTTTATGGTGGGAGTTGGGGGCAGGGGAGGTGGGGGGGATCAGACCAAATATTCAGCAGTCTTGGTTTGTACTCTCAGTTCTGCCACTGACTGTCACCTCAACCGAATGCTTCAAATCTCTATTTTGAAAAGTGGTACAGTGCAACCTGAGCACCAAAGAACTGCTGCTTTCAAATTGCAGTACTAGAGAAGACTCTTGACAGTCCTTTGGACAGCAAGGAGATCAAACTGGTCAATCCTAAAGGAAACCAACCCTGAATACTCATTGGAAGGATTGATGCTGAAGCTCCAGTACTTAGGCCACCTGATGCAAAGAGCTGAATCATTGGAAAAAATCCTGATGCTGGGAAAGATTGAGGGCAAAAGGAGAGGAGGAGGGAGGCAGAGGATGATATGGTTGGATAGCACCACTGACTCAGTGGACATGAACTTGGGCAAACTCTGGGAGACAGTGAGGGACAGGGAAGCCTAGTGTGCTGCAGTCCATGGGGTCACAAAGAGTTGGACACGACGTAGCAACTGAACAACAACAATGCGACCTACTGATCTGCCACTTCTAGAAGCAAGTCCATACATTTCAGTATATTCAACAAGGAGAACCTTCTATGGCCCTAGTCATACCAGCCGATGGCAGAGACAGGGCTATTTCCCACATCTCTTGGTTTCAATTCCAGAAAACTCTCACCATCAGTGCTGCTAACACTTGCCTTCTGATACCTGGAGACCTTGCTAAACATACCAGCAGCTACTCACTCCAATGAAATTCTCCTTAATCAGTCTGGAGTGAAGCCTACCAGTCTGCATTTCTTAGCTGCAGGGCCCAAGGCATTTAAATCCTCAAACAATTTGAGAAACCGGACACTATACCCTGCTAAACTATACAAGGAAACTCAATTTTCTCTCTTTGTATTCTCTGTTAAATTAGGGAAAATATTTGAAAGACATTTTTGATGGATATAATGTTCCCTACCCAAACTATCAATACATTTATGAATATTAACATTAATTTCAACTAGAACTAGTAAATATTATTTCCTTTACAGTTCTCTAAACATTTAAGACTAACCTATTTTCTAAACTTAAGTCTATTTGTATTGTGCTGTGTGTCTCTGAAAAAATGAAATAAAGTCTATCTCAATTCGTCCAGTTAATGAGAATCAAATGCCCAAACTGCATATTGTCACCCCACTAGATCATTTTCTCCTTAAGCACAAGGCTTTATCTTTCATATCTGATCATATCTTAGAGCAGTACTGAACAAGATGGCTAGGTATGGATGGTGGATGAATGATGGGAGGAGAGGGTGAATGGGTACATAGATTTTTTAAATGAGTAAATACATGAATTAGTGAATTCTGCCCCCTGACAACTACAGGAAATTGTTGCCAGAGTTAGAAATATATTCACAGGGGTTCAGCAAACCTTGTCTGATTTAAACTGTTTAATAAACTAGAAAAGTGAAAAGAAGCTGACATCACTACACAGGAACCTTTTCATTTCTCTCCCACCTCCTCTCTCTCCAAAAGCCCTCCAACTCGTTGACTTATAAGGACTACCCACGTGCGGTAGAAAGATCTGTGCCACCAACACATCACTCACCCCTCTCCACCATCGGGGTGACACATGTGGTCCCCTAAATGTTCCACCTGGAGGTATTTTGAGGGCAGCTAACGAAGAGGGGGCTTCCAGAGCCAATGGAGGAGGTGTGACATGAGGTCACAGAGCCACTGCCTCCCCCTCTGAAGAGAAACCACTCTGCTCTATTTATTTCAGAATCCAGAGGAAGTCGACAAAGGGTGACAGCAGCGGAGCACAGCATGTGGTGGAGAGTTTGCAGCTTGCTGGCGTGGTTCCCCTTACAAGGTAAGGACTCGGAGCTCGTGTCTTTTTCATGCTCAGTTGACCTAATGTTTGGGCACATCTATCAGTCAGTCTACTGCTCTCAGAGAGGACTGACTGCAGAAGCAACTCAGGTAAACCTCTCACTTTCCACGTAAATCTCTCAGCTTACACTACGATTACACACTGGAGGGATGTTACAGGATTAATTGACTCTCGTGTTCAATTGCTAAAGGGTCTATAGAAAGGGTCATTGTCGTGTATGTCTCCGTGGAATCTGTGTTATGGCAAAGTGTAACTAATAAGTTTACTGTCTTTTAAGTTGAAAGAGCAGCAGTTTGGCATTTTAAAACCTCTTTATTCTTTGGTCTTACTGTACAGCACAGGTAACGCTGCTCAAAGTTATGCGGCAGCCTGGATGGGAGAGGGGCTTGGGGGGAATGGATACATGTATATGTATGGCTGAGTTCCTTTGCTGTCCTTTGCTGAAACTATCACAACATTGCTAATTGGCTATACTCCAATACAAAATAAAAGGTTAAAAAAAACTCCTTGTTGTATAAGCCTGAGCAAAATAATTTCTCTGAAACAGTTTCTACATCCTGAAATTAAAATGATAACGATGTTTGATCTACCAAACCCTATGGTTAAAAGGATCAAATTTCAATTGTAAAAGTACTTTGAAAATGGCAACATGCTAGACAACCCTTAATTAGTTCAGAAATCATGATTCCAGTGAAAACTTTGTGCTTATTTTTTGAGTCACTTTTCATTTCCTTATTATTTGCAAATGTGATTTTGGATGCTTAATTCTAATGTTGCATTATGAACATTAAAGAAAGATACATAGTTCTTCTTAGCACAGGTTAAATCTTTCCTACCCCAAAGTGGGGGCAGGATGTATTGTCCCCGAATCTCTGATGGCAACTTGTATGATTTTCTTGCAAAGAAAATCACACATAAACAGGGCTGCTTGCTTCTTGGGTGCTTATTTCCAAATACTGAATCTATAGTTACCTTCCAAGTGAAGCACCTCTCCTTCTAAATCTTCCTTCTCTGTAGAACTGCATCTGGAGAATGTATCTTTTAAAACTAGATTTCCTTATGGCTACCAAAGGGAAAGGGAGGGGGATGAATGAATTAGGAGTTCGGGATTAACATACTCACACTACTTTATATAAAACAGATAACCAACAAGGACCTACTGTAGAACACAGCGAACTCTATTCAATATTCTGTAATAACATATAGGGGGAAAGAGTCTGAAAAATATATGTAACTGAATCACTCAGCTCTACACCTGAAACCAACATAGCATTGTAAATCCAGTATACTCTAATACAAAATAAAAACTAAATTAAAAAAGACTAGGTTTCCTATTTTACACAGTACTCCAGTTTCCTACTTTATACACTTCAATTAGTGCTCTCATGTTTGGTCCCTGTACCCTGAGGCACTTAATAAAGATTCAATTTTGGTAATAAATAAGTTTCTTCAATAAGTGGCTTGAAGAAGAGCTAACACTTTCATAAAAAGTACATGTAAGTGGCTAAAATTAGAATGCTTTCTATTATTTCAAAATGTAAAGCCTTTAACTGACCTTCACTTTTTCAGTGAGTCATTTCCTTTCAAAAAGACCTCACAAAAATAATGTTTTAAATAAAAACTACAATAATCATGCTCTAAAGTAAACCTAAGATAAGTCTTTTAGAATATAAATTACCCAAGTACTGTTTATGAAGAAAGGGGAGTAAATGTATTTATTGCATCATGCACAGTGCTGAGTAATTTATGTTAATTTCATTTATCCTAGCCCCCCCCCAAAAAAATGACAGAGGTATTCATATCCCTAATTTATATATGATAAAATTGAGGTTATAAGAAGTTAGATAACCTGGTAGTAACTAACAATGTAAATATCAGTAAAGCACATAGTAAAAGTACTATCTCAAGAAAGTTTTCCGGGAGAGTGTATGAATTGGATTGTGATAGAAAATATGTTTCTTGATGTGGTTCAAAAGTTTGAAAGCCAGTGATTTCCACAATATGGAAGATTCATTGTTGAAAAATCCTCAACTGAAAACTCATCCAAAGGGGGCCATGCAGAGGGCATCTAGGGTCAGTGGTATTTAGAACCAGGTGGCCACTGTATGTGTTGTGTGTTCAGTCCCTTCAGTCGTGTCTGACTCTCTACAAGCCTGTGGACTGCAGCCACCAGGCTCCTGTGTCTATGGGATTCTCCAGGCTAGAATACTGAAGTGGGTTATCATGCCCTCCTCCAGGAGATCTTCCCAACCCGGGGATCGAACCTGGGCCTGCCTGTGTCTCCTGCATTGCAGGTGGATTCTTTACCCACTGAGCCACCTGGGAAGCCCACTCTGAACTAATCTTACTCATGTCCATCAGGGTCTCAAACAGGATAGGAGCTGACCATGCTGCTTCTTATCAGCAAAAAGGAAATCATCAGTTTGGGCAACATAAATTGCCAGCTGTTTGTAGCGAATTGAATTATGGGAAGATCATGACACCTTCTTTTATTGCACAACTTCAACGGGTGCCAAAAACTTACAGACCAAAAAAAAAGACCTATAATCTTGGAACCTGCCGTCTTTTCAGGATTCCTACTGGCAGCCCCTAGGGTGGGTCAAAACACAGTAAGAATGGAGAATTTTTCAAAATTCATCCCATTTTCCTATACTGTGGATGATGAAAACCCACCAATTTGCACCCTTTATTCTGGTTGTTTCATGGAGAGTAGGATGCAGGGAACACTCCAGTTGGAGATAGAGTGAGGTCTTCTCAATACTTCCTTTGACCAGGAAAGAGTCATCCATTTACCAACATGTTGAGACAGATTCTTTAAAGCTATACTGGAAATCATTTAATTTTGACAAAGTTTGATTCATTTTCACACATAATTTTCTCTACTGAGTCTATCTAAAGAATAACAATGATGCCTTTTTATAATGATCTGAATCCAAGCATGTTTTGCCTGCTAACCTCAAAAGAGGAACACAAATAAGGCTCTGATTTGAGACTTAACTCATTGCGTGTCTCTGATTCAAACTTAGCTCCAGGCTTTATTATTTAACATAAAGTGAGCACCCTATTAATATATTTATTAGTGAATATATACATTTACTCATATTTAGCCACTGATTGAACAAATACTTAAAATCTGAGATTTTGCTCAGTCCTGGGAATACAAACAACTTTTGTATGAGGAGTTTGTAATCTATCCACAAGAGACATACTCGTAACTGAAAAAGTGGTGTGTGAAGTGCTGTAAGAGAAATCTACTTGAAGCCTTCGGGAATCTGGAGGAGAGAGGAGGCCCCTGAAGGGGAGAGAGAGGCGAAAGGCCAGTTGAGTTGGGCAGGTTCGACAAAAGTGGTATACATTGACTTGAGTCTTGAAGGAGCTAAGAAAGGCATTCAAGGCTGAGAACAGCATGGACAAAGGCAAAGCATCTTCTTGAGTCCAAAATTTCTGGAGTTTGCAGGCGGCCATTTACATGGGACACCTGAAAGGGAGTATCAGCAAATAAAACTGGAGAAGATAGAGGGTCCAATTATCTGAAACACTGGCCTGATTCATATAGGCAGTGGGAGCCACAGCTAATATTCTAATGAAGGGATCGATTGAATTTGTATATTTTATATGTAAATTTTTTTTAAGAATCTGAGTTTTTATTTTATTTTTAATTTTTGGCTGAACTGCAAAATCCCACAGCTTGTTCCCTGACCAGAGATCAAGCTTGGGCCCCTGGTAGTGAGTGTGCAGAGTCCTGACCTCTGGACCACCAGGGAATTTCCTCTAATTGTAATGCTGAAGCAGATAAAAATAAGTTAGTAACAAAAGTAAGTTAGAGGGAGCAGAGGCTAGAAGGAGGTTACTGCAATGGTCCAAGAAAAAAAAAACAATGGAGGCAGTGATAGTGGTGAAAAAGAAAAAGAGGAATGAATTGATGCAAGAGATGTTTTGGAGAAGGAAGAGGCTGGGGTGCCTCTCAGATACCTGGCATGCTTGTGATGACAGTGATGACTACAAAGGAACGCTGGGATGGAGCAGGTGGTATGTGTTAGGTAGGTGTGGAGCACAGAACAGTACAGATGACGGGTTCCAACTGGACGTGCTGAATTCAGCCCTGAAGAACAGACTGGCTCTGTCCTGGGGTTTTAAAATTGGTTGCAATTCAATAATTGGGCTACTAAGAAAAAGAATCTTTTCCTTCAGTCTGCCATGATGACCTATAGTAGGGCAGATACACTGCAACTCCCCAAACCTTGGGAAAAACCAAGGACTCTTAGGAACTGTGCAAATTTTATCTCCAGGTGCTCTGGTAGGTGGTTATGACTCCTGCTTGCCCTTTCGCTTCAGAGTCAGTCACGTGTGCTTTGGTGTGAAGCTATTCCACTCCTAGGACAATTGGCTCACGAGATGGGGGATGGAGATGATGGTGAAGGTCATAGGTTCCCTTTCCACATATAAACCAACCACACAGACACACTCTATAGCCTTAGACTTAACTAGTGACCTCATAACACATGGCGGTGCATGGCTGGATGAACCCAGTCAGGGAGATAACGACCAAGCCCAGAAGTCAATAATCCACTCAATAAACATGACCTACCAGTAGTAAGTGGTGACCTCCTAGGAGAGACACCACAGGGATTCATTGCCAAGCTCGGGATGTCCAGCATTTGGGAGTCATATCAGAGAACTCTGAAGACTGACAGAGAACTAGCAAGTAGGCATGGGGCACTTGCTGTCCACGCTAGAAATGCGAAGGTGAATAAGGATATAATATAAATGTTTTTAGAGCCTGCAGGGGAGGAAGTGGTGAGCTAAGAAGATACCCCACACCCAATCCCTCTGACAAAGGTGAAAGTTTGACTCTAAACTTGGCTGAAAAAAAGATTTTAAAGACAAGTTCCACTGTAGTTTTCAATAGCAGCAAGAGCATCATGGGGAACTTTTTTCTTAGAAGATGTGGCATCAAAACTTAGGAACCACTGTCCTTCTCTTCTACTCTTTGACATGATTTAGAGATGTTAGCCAATATTTTTAAGTACCGCAGCTGAAGCAGTGTGGTGCAGTAGCTTCTCACTGAGCTAGTCTTCCTTTCTACAATGATTTCCTGTCTCTGAATCAAACATGGGGTCTACATGACAACACTGCAAGAGAAACAGGCTTAGGAAGCCAAATGCAAGGCTAAGAGCCAAGAGCAGAGGAAATGACTGGTGTTCTAAGCCTCAGACGCAGTCCTTTCCATCTGGAACTCGGTACCTCTTCTTGTGGTCAGCAGCCTGACCCTGACTTCTCAACAGCAAGAGCAGACACTCATCGTGGGACATAGAATTCTTTGCCATATGCTAAAATGCCATGCTACATTTTCATACAATTTTTAAGACACTGTAAGGATTAAATGACATGATTTAATTCATAAGCATGCATTCTCAAGAAAAAGACAATGATATATACACCTTTAAAATGGGAGACATTTATCCATAAACAGAGTGCACATAAATCTTGCCTCTCCCTTCTCCCCCAGTGTGGGCTTCCTGTCTAGACAATCATTTTATCAAAGGTAAGAACACTGACAAAGCCTCTGAATGTCAACTTCTTGCCTGAAGGATGAAATCAGGGGATGTTGCTTAATACTAGTCTTTATCCTAGTCTTTATCCTATCCATAAATATCATATATTTATGTAGTAACTTCCCTCCTCTCTCTCAATATTCTTATGAACAACAGGAGAGCAAAGATAGCTATCCATTGCCTGTATTACAGTGTCATCATGAAAGCTAGCATTAGACCATTACTTTCCAAGCTTATACTGTGATCGTTTCTGTTAAGAAAGAATTGTAGAGCACAGTCACTGCCCTCATGAAGCTTCAATCTGTGGGAAGCAAGATCATGCACAAGGGCTCGAGATAAAACAAGAATCATATAATGGGATGACACAGTACAAGTTGGTCCAGATTCAGATTCTTGGCTCAAGAGTTGCTTACCCTTAGAAGAAATTCCATTATCATTTCAATGCATCTCTACTAATGTTATCCTTATTACCCAATCATGGGTTGATTTTATAGATGAGAATATTTCCAAATGACCTACCTAAGCAGAATTCTGGCCTATGCCTCAATGGTTTTTTTGAAAACAATCTCTTTTTATTGAATCCTTGTTGTTCATTATAGTATTGGCTGATGATATGAGTATTTTTCCATCAGGACTCAAGGTAACTCTTTTCCCATGAAAATCAATATGAATACAATACAATAATTTTGGGTGATTATTGCTGGAGGCTAGGTTGAAATTAATGACCTCAAAATGGAACAAACTAAAAAGTCTGTAACAATTAATTCCCAGAGCTCTTCAATGTGCTTTTCCTAATACTTGAAATTTATCACAAGGAAATAAAGTCATTTCTTTTTCCTTTTTTTTTTTAACAGCTAAGATGATACACTAAAACTCATTGCATTTGCTATTCATATTTTATAACCCCATGGTATTCTTCTGTTTATAGACATGTTTTGTACTTTCATTGATAAGAACTGTTTCATCCTCAGGAAAAAGAATTCTTTAATTTTAAAGTTGAAAAATAACAAATGGCAATAAATGTGCCAAATCAGCAGTAAAGCCAATTTATTCTTCTATCAATTTCTTTTTTGGGGAGGATAACTTTGCAGCTGCTTAGAACTATTGTTTCTCATTCTCTGGGGGTTATGATTTGGGGAAATTACAGACTCTTACATGTGCCCGGGGAAAGCACTGCTGTGGAATATTAAATCAGAAGAGATCCAAGAACATCCACCCTCTGGTAGAGAAGCTCTTCCACCCGAGGGACTTACCTACTCCCGAGGAAGAGCAGCTCCATAATTCACAATAGCCCCAAAGGACATAACATTCTTTTTTAGAATCTGAGACACCCCCCACCTCTGCCACCAACTGTACTTGAAGACATGAGTCGGCCCTTTTATAAACAGAGGCCAGAAAGGCCAAATTTTCTGGGGTCTCATCACTTAGGTAGTCTGACCCAGTTATATAAGCATGGGCTTAGAAGCCCACAGACCTAGGCACCAATGCCATCTGAGGACCTCTGTGACCTTGAACCTCTACTCCCTCATCATCAAGTGAGCAAAATCACTCTTCCTTTAGAGCAGGGACACCCAGCCTCTCGGATCTAATGCCTGATGATCTGAGGTGGAGCTGATGTAATAATAATAGAGTGCACAATATTGTAATGCACCTGAATCATCCCAAAACCATTGCCCCTGCCTCCATGGAAAAATTGTCTTCCACGAAACCAGCCTCTGGTGCCAAAAAGGTTGGGAACTGCTGCTTTAGAGCGTTAGTTTGAAAGTTGAGTTTAATATCGGTAACATGGAAGACACAATTTCCAGCATATGGCAAGGCAAGTGCCTCATGGATGTTGCTCAGCTTTCCTTTCATTAAAACCCAACCCACTTCATTCATACTCCTTCGGGAGACATCTTGATTGCTCTAGCACACTGCTTCCCTCCTCTCCTTGCAGTTTTTGGTGTGGACTTTAGGTTCTGTTTCTCTAACAGATGTATACAAATGACCAAATGATGAACGAGGCTGCCTCGAGTCTAAGCCCTTGCTTCAATTCAGTTGCAGTGTGGCCCATGCCAGTCTGACGGTCCCCAATTCTCTTCCTCCACAGAGGCCTTTCGGACCCACCACATGGAAACTGTCCCCATAGAGGAAGGCCAGACGCTCACTCTAAACTGTACTGTTTCTCAGGAGACCACCTCTCTGCAGTGGCTGGCCCCCTCGGGCTTCACCATTTTCTTCAATGAACAACCTGGTAAGTGAAGAAGAATGAAACCACCACCAGACCTCAACCTGACGGATTTTCCAGACAGACAGGCTGGTGGGCCAAAAAGTCAGCATGAGTCACCCCAATGGTGGGCTTGGCCCCACCTACTGTGAGATGTAAATCGCACCCAGAAGCCTGTGTTTTACACACGGCTGCTTTTTTTCTGGCAGGAAGTCTGAAATGGAAACCCCACCAGCATGGTTGGTAAAGGGGGCTCAAATGACAAAGCCCATTGCCACCATCCCACCTCACCCCCAGGTCACCTTTTGACTCTTAATGACCATGAAACCACCCACAGCACAATGATAGATGGCAAAAGACAGACAGGTGGGGGGCCTATGGTCCTCGGGCAGCCAACACGTCACCCCACTTCTACAGACAGGAGCCCCGTTTTCCACCTGAGCAATCCAGAGCCACACATCAAGCCCCACCCCAAACTGGCTCCCCTTCTCCCAACGGTCTTAACAAAAACTCAGGGTCATTGAGCAATAGGAACTGATGGCATGTTTTACTCTGAAAGGGACAGCAGCCTTCCTCTCTCATAAACACGCACTTAGTTCTAGATGCCTAAGATGGGAGGGAACTCTTTTTTCCTCCAATTTTATTATGATATAATTGACATATAACATTGTATTGGTTTAATGTGTACCATATAATGTTTTGATATATGTATATATTGGAAAAGAATACCACAATAAGTTTAGCTAATATCTGTCACCTCACGTGGTCACAGTTTTTTTTTTTTTCCTTGTGGGAAGGGATTTTTTAAAATCTATTTAGTTCATCTCTTTGGGAAGTATTTATGAAACCCTTCCTTTATAATGAGACTATTTTTTTAAACTCTGGATTTTTAAAGTTTTTTTTTTTTTAATGTGGACCATTTTTAAAGTCTTTTTGAATTTGTTTCAATATTGCTTCTGTTTTTATCATTTGGTTTTTTGACCCCAAGGCAAGTGGGATTTTAGCTCCCTGACCAGGGATCGAATCTGTATCCACTGCATTGGAGGGCAAAATCTTAACCACTGGACCAACAGGGATGTCCTGATAATGAGACCATTTTATACCTCCATTTAATACTACTAATTACCAAATGCTTAGAAAAGTATCCAACACAGCAAATTTCATTCTGCTTTGTAAAAGCAGACCCTCTAGAAAAACTTGATGTGCTTTAGAAAGTATGATTAAACATTGATAGGTTCACTGTAAAATAACTAAATATATTATTTTAAGCTAAACCAACTAGATTCCAATAGAATAAGTACATATTAATCGATAAAAGTTGAGGGGAAACCTTTAAAGAGAGAGAATTCTGTTAAATAATGCTTTCTGTTGCTTTGTTTTGGTTAAACTGGGCTTCCCAGTGGCTCAGCAGTAAAGAATCCATCTGCCAATGCAGGAGATGCAGGTTCAGTCCCTGGGTTGGGAAGATCCCCCGGAGAAAGCTATAGCAACCCACTCCAGTATTCTTGCCTGGGAAATTCTACAGACCGAGGAGCCTGGCGGTCTATAGTCCATGCGGTCACAAAGAGTCGGACACGACCGAGTAACTAAACAACAATAATACTGGGAGAAGATGGACATTCTCAAATGCCCTGATCTAGCGTATTGGTTCTCCCTCAAGGGTATTTTTTTTGCCCTCCAGGGGACATTTGGCAATGTGATAGTTTTGGTTGTTATAACCAAGGAAAGGCATGGGGATCTGGACTGTAGTGAGAGAGGCCAGAGACGCTGCTAAACACTGCATAATGCAGAGTGTAGCCCCCCGTACCCCCACTCAACAGTGAATGATGGCTTCAAATGTCAGTAGTGCTGAGGCTGAGAACACCTGGATTCCAGCTCAGGTAACATCAGTGTCCCAAGACACCATAACCATTATTTCAGATGAGAAACAACCTTCCTTGGTCAGCCAATTCAGGTTTAACTGTTTTAGGCTTGTTCACATTATAAATCTTAACATTAGGAAAAAAGAAACAAAGAAAACCACTCATTTCAGGAGCCTCTGATTCGTTAAGGGACCTTTGACTTGAGATGGAAATCCCAGATCAAGACACAATCAAAAGGAATACTTGCTGTTGGCTAGAACTTTCTGGAACTGTGGGAGGTTTTATGTTCTTGTGGGTTTTTTTTTTTTTTTTTGGCTTTGTTGTTGCTTTTGTTTATTTTTGCCATTCCCTAAACATTTGAAAGTACTACATACTCTTTGGGAAACTTCAAATAATAATGAACTTTTCTTCTAAACGTATCTCGGTTATTCACTGTCATATGAAATTGTAAGAACAGTAGATTTTACAGCTTTGTCATCAAATCAATTGGACAACTATTTTTGTTCCAATCTTATTCATATAACTATAAAATTTAAATAGTGATAATTATGGATAGCTTTCCAATAGTTTTTTAAAATTTGATTGGAGTATAATTGCATCACAATGCTGTGTATGACAAGACAGAGAATTGAATTTCTAAGACAAATTACACTGGGCCATTTACATAATATAAAAAAAATTATTTAACATCCTCCTGCAACTGGAACCCTTTGCCAGCCCAGGGTTCTAACTTCCTACCAGCATAAATAAAACAAACTGCTTATTTCACAGATCCTAGTATCAAAACACTTTATTTCCTAAACTAACTTCGAACTATTGAGAGGTCTCCATCTGGTAACACTAGAATCTGGAAGGCAGCTCAGTCAAAGATGCAACATCCAACCCCTTAAAGTGTGATAATCAAAAGCTATTCCTGTAAAAAATCCATCCACTGAGAGTCTGCATTCATCTGATACCTCTCCTTATAACAACTCTTGTTCCCTCTTGTATAGCTCTAAAAAGTTCCAAATACCAGCTTCTTCATCACTCCTCCGATCAGCTCTCCATCAGCGTGCTGAATGTAACACAGCATGATGAAGGCGTGTACAAGTGTCTGCACTACGGCAAGTCTGTGAGAACAAAGGAAGTGAAAGTGATCGTGTTAGGTAGGTGCCTGAAAGCCGGTAAACCCAGCCTGGGAGCAATACACTTAGGAACGGGATATATCATTTTTAAGCTCAATATTATAATTAAAAAGTGTTGCCTGCAGCAAGGCATTTCCTGGCACCTCTGCCATCTTTGTTGAGAGAAAACAGAAAGGAGCAGTTTGAGTGGCAAGTCCCAGACTAAATGTGAGTTTGTGAAAATTGTCTTTGGCATCAACTAAATTTTCTCTGCAGGGAACTAAAAGGAAAGAGAATTCGTACTGGCTGAACTGTGACTCTGTGCCAGGCACTGTGCTGGGCTGCAAGGAAACAAAGATGAATTAGGCACAATCTCTGCCCACAAGGAGTTTGCACACTTGTTCAGGAAGGCAAAACACATATACACATCTAGCAGAAACTTCTGACAGCATATCTTAAGATAGAATATATTCAGATGTAACTCTGCTGGACAATTGGCTCACACCCTCTGCAAAACAAGTTCCTCTCTTCTGTTGAGGGATGGGGTTGGGAGGCTTGGCTAGGAAGTGACAGCTGAAACTTGCTCAGTTCTGCAGATGGTCCTTTGTGTTCAGTATTAAGCCTTAGTATCTTGACTTTTTTGCTTGTAGCAGAACAGATCAATTTAAAACATTGCCTTTTATTGATCTCTAAATGCCATAATTCTATGTATCACACAAGGATTTCCTAAGACTCCTCTTCTTGCATTAATTGAGTGTGGTACCTGCCATAAAGTACAGGCACAGTGACAAAGTCTCTGGGAAGGAGTGGCTCCCTAGGGGTTCTGAGAAGCAGTGAGACTCAGCTTTGGGGTCACCTTTCCCTCATGTTGCTGGTCACCCTCAACATCACTCTGGGTCAGGCCAGGTCTGTGCTCTACTGGGGCTCTCATAACACCTCTCAGAACACCCCATGCCTACCTCTGTCATTGCACCTGACACGTGACCTTTCAGTGAACAGTTTAAGGGGCTGCTTCTATCACCATGCCCCGCTTTGAGGGGCCTCATCTTTCCCACATTTGTATTGCCAGCATCTGGTACATACTTGGAAGTGACTTCATAATGTCTTAATGGCAGACGGATGAGTAAATAGATGTTAAAGGGTCCCATTCTGTACCCCACAGTGTGAGGTAAAACAGAGATGACATAAGCCTATCTGAAAAAACTTCCCTGGACAGAAGTAAAAAGAAATCAGACTGATGGGCTCTTTAGAGAAATGCCTCTTTGATGGGTGGAGGGGACAGAAGTAACTTATACTGAGGTGAGTCCTAGACTCACGAAAGCTTAGAGCTCAAACAGCCAACTCATAAACCAACTCCTTCACGTCTCAGACAAGGAAACTGTTAGACCAAGAGGTTGTGGGACTTACCCAAGTTCTTACAAATAGTTGGTGACAGAGATGGGACCAGAATTCCAGCTTCTATTCCTCACCTAGTGTTCTACCACTCAAATGCACTCATCTATAAAATTTAAGAATTACTGTTGTAACACAGTCTGCTTGGGAATTTCCAGAGACTAATCACACACTGGGTGACAAATATTCTGATGACAGCCAGAGTAGCTTTACAAGTACATAAAAGCCCCTTAACTATATTCTGAGAAAGGTCAAATGAAAAAATATGCTGTTATTTAGACCATCCCCTACAATGATCCCTACAGATTATTAGGCTCTGTGCTTTGCTGAGATATGTAGACCAGCTAATTAAGCACAGAAAAATCAATTTTCTTCTAGCAACTCCTGTCATGCCAACCCTGCAAGTTTCAGTTATCAAAACGCACAATGGAGAAGAACACGTCATTATGAAATGCTCCACCGTGAGAACCAAGCCCCCTCCACGGATAACCTGGCTTTTAGGGGATGGCATGGAGCTCTATGGTAAGTGAAGAAACCATTCTCTTTTCTCCTTTGTTTTCCTTCCTATTTATATTTTTAAGGAATTTTTAAATGCTCTGGCACCCTCTGGTGGCTGAAAGTGCCAGAAAACCCCATTCAATATTTCATCCATCCTTTTCCAGACAAATTATTCTTATTCGATAGTCGATACTATGCCTTATTCTTGAAAGCCTCAACACAAACAGCATGGTTACATGCTTTTGTTTAAAAAAAGGTAGGAACCTAAAATGGTACATGTATTAAATATTATGGTTTCATAGACTCAATGGACATGAGTTTGAGCAAACTCGAGAGATAGTGAAGGACAGGGAAGCCTGGCATGCTGCAATCCATGGGGTCACAGGGTCAGACACAACTGAGTGACTGAACAACAACAACAAAGGCTTTGTAAAATTTCATTTTATGAAGGGCAGGAGAGGATAAGATGGTTGCAGAGCATCACTGATTCAATGGACATGAACGTGGGCAAACTCTGGAAGATCATGAGAGACAGGGAGGACTGGCAGGCTGCATTCCATGGGGTTGCAAAGAGTCAGACACGACCCAGTGACTCAACAACAACAACAAAATTTCATAAAAGGCATAATATAGCTATTACCTGTACCTCTGAGCATAAACTTTCTATCAGACACAGAATTGAAAATATGTTTAGGACTTCCCTGGTGGTTCAGTGGCGAATACTCTGTGCTCCCAATGCTGGGGGTCCAGGGTTCAATCCCTAATCAGGGAACTAGATCCCACATGCTGCAACTAAACATGCTGCATGACTCAACTAAAGATCCCACATGCCAAGACCTGCCACAGCCAAATAAACAACTACATTTCTAAAAAATATATTTAACATAATACATGCAATTGGAGCAGATAAGATCTTGCTTGAACAATGGAGTATCACGTCATACTCTCTGTGGCAGATAAAACTATTTTGATAACAGCAACAACAAAAACCTAAGCTTTGAGCCTTTTAACTGAAAAGGAAAACCAACTCTCATGGTTGGGAACTGATTCCAGTTTCTTTACGTTTCAACACATTTCATTCAATTTTATGTAACCATAGGTTCAGTCCACTGCCAATTCTAGGCCTCTCTTTAATCTGCCTTATTCATTCAACCTGAGTAAGGTCTTGGGTCTTTGTGTTCCACATTAGGCTGTCTTTCTTGTGTAACCATAAGCTCTGGATTTTTTTTCCCCAGTAGTGCAGGGTTTATAGGAAATTATCCACTCTTGTTCATCTGCTTCTCTTTGGGAATGGGGCCAAGCACATCCCAGGTGGCTGAGGGAAATTAGAGTGAGGTTAGAAGTCTAACAGGTTTGCCAAGATGTCAAGGCCATTGGTTTCTCAGAGAACCATGCCACCCAATAGCATTAAACTGTCATGACCTCACACACCGCTTTAAATTGCTTTACAGGTGAAACCCACCATGAATATGAAACTGATGGGAAGAAGTGTAATAGCACCAGCACACTGACAGTCCACACATATGGCAAAAACTCAACAGCAAGTTGCATTATCCGACACAAAGGCCTGCAAGGAAGAGAACTGGTAGCACCTTTTCGGTTTGAAGATTTGGGTAAGAACCACCAATGGCTGTCTTTAATTATCTTAAATTTACCTTATATCTCACTATCAAACAAGATGAAATGGAGTAGGGAAAGTCCTTCAGAGCAAGCTCACTGTCAACAAAGCTTTTTTAAATAACAAATTTCTTTCATGATTGAACTTTCTCCAGCTGGGCAACAGAGTTACTGTTACAACACAGAAGAATCCCAGTTGTGTAGAAAGCCTAACAGAGTGCCATGTGCAAGCAGTGTCATGCTTGTTTTTTGATCATGACAGGTGGCATAACTTGACCTAAGATAGTTTTATTGCAGTCATGTTTTTGGAGAGATCATGTGAAGCTTATTGCATCTCTGTACTTAATCCCCAAGGGGATAAAACTAACTGAAATAAATCTAAACTTGGCAATATCATTGTATGTTAACAATCATGTACCCACATTAAGTCATGACTATGCTTTAGATTTATTTTGTTATAACTATTTTAGAGAGCATAGTCTACCCATGTTAATATTCTGAGCAGGGACTTCCCTGGTGGCCCACTGGTTAAGAGTTTGGCTTCCGATGCAGGGTATGCAGGTTCAGTCCCTGGTTGGGGAGGTAAGACCCCACATGCCTCGCAGTCAGAAAATCAAAACATTAAACAAGCAGTATTGTAACAAATTCAATAAAGACTTTAAAAAGTGATCCACATCAAAAAAAAACTTTAAAAAATATTCTGAACAGAACACCAAAAATTAAGAATAAAAATGAAAAGAAATCAAACATTAAATGTGAAAAGGAGTTGCCTCCATTTTCAGAATCTCTGTTCCCTGATCCCATCACCAAAGGTTTAAGAATTAAAAACCATATAAAACGTTCTGAGCCAAGAAACAGCCTCTGAGAAGTAACAGGCATCACACATCTATCATTCATAGGACTCCAAGCTTCATTACTTCATAAGGTACTTCTCAGTGTGACCCTGGAGAATGGAATGGCAACCCACTGCAGTACTCTTGTCTGAAGAATCCTGTGGACAGAGGAGCCTGTTGGGCTAGTCCACGGGGTCGCAAAGAGTCGGACACAAGTGAGCACTCTCAGTGTGAGAGAGATTCCTGAAGGATAAGCATTCCCTCACACGAATGAAGGAGGAAGCTGCTGGGTGACCCTGAGTTTGCTGAGAAAGCTCTGCATCAAATGAAATAACTGATGAGGAAGGTGCTTGTCAGCAGGAACCTCGCTGTGAGAAACTGCGCTGCTGCTCTGTGGGGGCTGGCGCTGTGGTTAACAACTCCCCACTCACTCCCTGTGTTCTCCGCCGGTCACTTTCTCACCAAACCTAGAGTGGGTCTTGAGGAAGCCGGGTTTAGAAGAATCAAGGGCCCCCAGACTGGGCGGAACTGTAAACTGACGTACATATTCTTTCCCCTCTGTCATTCATCCCCCTCCTCACCTCCCACCCCCAGCCGTGGGAGGGAGCCTAGGGCACATGGGGAGGCGGGCGGGTCACCAAAGAGAAAAGGAGGCTTCTTTTACCTAAATGGCTCTGCAAGACGTTCAGATTTTACATAAAAGAGCCAACAATATCAATAAATATATCTCAGTTTTCAGCAATTGTTCAAACCGTCTCCCAAAATTAGTGCTGAAGGAGAAATCAGTTTCTCCTCATGAATGACCATAGCTCTATACATACAGTGTGTGTGTGTGTGTGTGTGTATTTGTATGTATATACACACACACAGACTACTGAATGTATATGTGCACAGTTGTATATATACACTATGGCATATATATATATATGCCATATATACATATATATACACATATATCCACATACATATACATACATACATATATATGTATATATACATATATATACACACACATACATACATACATATGTATATATATACATATATATATATACACACAATATATACAATGTGTATAGAATATAGTCATATACACATAACCTGTTTTGTACTTAACTGTGTAATTATATGAACTCACATAGTATACATTATTCTAGATCTTAATCATTATTGATAAATTTTATTCTCTGTGTCCCCAGTAGTTGCCACATTGTCCTTATCTTGTGATCTGCTTCCAGCTCTTCTATTTGACCTGTCTTCAAGCTTTTCACTGCCGGCAACTTCTCCTCTCTTCAATTTTCTCTGGCCTCTTTGTGGCCACAGAGCTCACTTGATCTGTTTTACTATTTCTCTAGTGTCTCCTTAGTGGTTCTTCTCTTCTCAGAGCCCTTGGCATGTGATTCAAGCATTTTTATAGTCTTAAATATTTAGTGTTTGACTAAGAAAATAATTTACAAAGCCACAGGAAAATCCTTTGATTAAATGAAAGACTGAAAAGCACTCACAGATTCCATAAAGATATTACAGATCAGTAGCCATATTTGTAAATTAATAGGTATTGTTTTTATAAGCTCCCTGGTTGCAGGCCTGTTTGTTGACTGATCAAACCTATGCCAAGTTGAACCTCTAGATACATTCCTAACCATTGCTTTTATAGTCCACAATAGCATTTCTTAAGCCTCTTAATGAATAGTCAGGTTTGGGGCTACACGTGTCATACAAATGAAATCATTTATCCTCACCAAAAATCTCCAAAAGATATTAGTATCTCCATTTTACAGATAAGGGAAAGCCTTGAATATGAGAGATTAGGGACCTGGTCCAAACTTAATCAGTGGCAGTGGAGGAGCAGCACTGGAATTCAGCCCACTCTGACGCTGACTCCAAAGCCACCTAATAAACAGGCAGGTAGATAAGCGATTAAGTAGACAGACAGAGAGACTGATAAGTATTAATAGGTAGATACAGATAGAGATGAACAGTCTTTGCCCACCACTGCCCAATGCACTGCTCCACAGAGGTCCAGCCTGCTGCGCTTCTAAGCCAGGCAGTTTAGCAGATGGACAATCAGCGGGATGTAGATTCAAACACCAGCACAAGGGCTGCAGAACACCTAATTCTGAGGTTTCTGCAGAACCTCCACAAGCAGGTAGCAGCCAAGCATATTCTCCAATCTGCTGTACTGAGCACAATGTGGATAAAATTGCTCTCTGTAGTTGCGGAATTCTGTTTTTCCCCTTTCCTAGTTGCTGATCAAGAGACAACTTCAGCTGCCCTGGAGACGAGCTCTCTATCCTCTCAAGACCCTCAGCAGCCCAATAGCACTGGTAAGTATCAAAAACATTAAAACTTAAAAAAAAAAATCATGATTCTCTGGGAAAGTCACTTTTCCCATTCTAAGTTTCAAGAAGGTTTTTTTCTTGTAATTTGTAATAAGACCATATAAGGCTCCTTCCAGCTGGCTCCAGCTTTATGGTGACCAGGAGAAGCACCATATTCGGAGAGTTCAGTTAGTGGGAGGGGCTTCAGGGTAACTAACACCTTTTAAGTTCTCACTCTCTCTCTCTCTCACACACACATGCATGCACACACCACTGTGACATCTGAATCCCTCTGTGGTAAAAGACAGGGTTGAATTCATTTATAAAAGGCTCACTTCTTTGTTTTTCCATCTAGAACAGACCAAACACAAAATAAAGACTTGATAACAGCAAAGCACAAATGCAGGATTTGCTGTTGTCACTGAATAACAAAATCACCCTGGAAGGCTCATCAGTTACTTGGTTGTCAAGAACTCAGATAGCTTTGTTTTGTTTTTATAATTTTACTTCTCTATTTTGGCTGTGCTGAGTCTTAGTTGCCGCACACAGGCTTTCTCTAGTTGCAGTGAGCGGGGGCTATTCTCTAGCTGCCGTGCATGGGCCTCATCGCGGTGGCTTCTCTTGCTGCAGAGCGCAGGCTCCAGGGCACTTGGGCTGCAGTAGCTGAGGCCTGTGGGCTCAGAGGTGCAGTTCCCGGGCTCTAAAGCCTGGGCTCAATAGCTGTGGTGCACAGACTTAGTTGCTCCATGGCATGTGGGATCTTCCTGGATCAGGGATCGAACCCGTGTCCCCTGCACTGGCAGGCGGATTCTTAACCACTGAGCCACCAGGGAAGCTCCTGTTTTGTTTCTTCAACTTGCCATATGCATTTTATTTTTTTAATTTCCTTTTCTATCATTAGTGAGGTTTGTAAAAACAAAAAAACACAAAAAACACACAGAGAAGCAAAAATGCGTATTTTTCAGCCTTACTGTACACACCTCTGAAGTACAGAAATGTAACATTCTGAGTGCTAAAATATATCTAAGAACTCAGTTTTTGATGACAGGATTGAACTATAAATGAAGGAGAATTTAGAAAACCTGGATTATAATCCCAGCTTTGTTAAACAGTGAATCACTAGATGATTAACTCTGGGCAACAATCACATATTTAACTTATCTTTGTATTTTACCTAGCTTAATACCTGCCAATAGCAGGTACTCACAAAATCCAGTGAGTGAATGAATGGATGGACGAATGAATGAATGAGTGCATGCAGTTGTCATGGTGCTTTGAACAAGACAGTAAGCCTCATTCAGAAAGGCATGAATCCCCACATATCCTCTTTCTGTTTCAAATAGTCTCTCTCTAAAATTTTGTGGTGGGAGAAGTGCTTTCATATTACTATCATGTCCATAGTTCTGAGTATCAGATCACATTTTTAAAATGTTTATCTTCACTAATACTTAAAAGTAAAATGTTTAGGTTCTTTAAGCACTGATAAATACACATGTACCATACATACATATGTACTTTTTCTGTGGGGAGATGGAAATTGAAAATATTATGAAGTGGAACAGCCACATCCCTTGCTTAAATAATCCAATATTTTTAAACGTGTTTAGAATCTAGTTGTCTTTAAATTGGCTTACACCACTACTGAATAACTCAATTTTCTCCTCTGCTTTTTCATATAGAACAGAAGATTTAAGAAATGTGGTTTCTAAAATTCCTTTCAGCTTTCAATTTCTATGATTTTATTACTGTTAATAATACCCATTTTCAATAGAAGGGGTGGTTTCATTCCCCTCACGGCCCACATGGTGGCGCTGTGCAATGGGCTACAAACCAAGAGTGCAGATGGGGTGGGGGTTGGACAGGGAAAAGAGGTTGGACAGGGAAAAGAAACAAAATCGGGAAAAAAAGGATCTCTTACTTTTATAATTTCTCTTCAAAAAAATCATCATAGTACACCCTATTTCTAAGGAGGAAGTAAGCACTGGGCTGAATGGCAACTGAGACAATTTTCAACATAAAAATCACTGCTTTGTACATTTCAGGTTGTAGAGTTTCTATTCATCAGGCTTGGGGCACCATTCTTCAATATTCAGTCCTGAAGCATCCTAAAACTGTTTCAACTAATAGACCTAATTCAGGGAGGAAATATAAAATAATGTTTTAAATTTGGGATTCTGAGTTTTGATATTGGCTCTGCCACTTATCTGCTATAGAACTGAGACAATTAGCTTCTTGAAACCTGTTTGTTCAGAGCTATAGTGAGAAGTAATATATACCAAATGGTCATTTTAAGGTTTGGCACAGAGTAAGTATTCAATAAACATTCACCTCGAATAAAAAGATCTTCCCTCGTGGCGCAGATGATAAAGAATCTTCCTGCAATGCAGGAGACCCGGGTTCCATCCCTAGGTCGGGAAGATCCCCTGGAGAAGGAAATGGCTACCCACTTCAGTATTCTTACCTGGGAAATCCCATGGACAGAGGAGCCTGGCAGACTCCACAGGGTCGCAAAGAGTGGGACACAACTGAGTGACTCTTTTTTAAAAAGTGAACCTGACCATTTGCAACAATTTTTGGAAGAAGTCAGTAGTTCAAAAGTGATATTGTTTTAAATGAGGATTATTCAGTTTGGTTTCCAAAGGTGCTTTGTGATGAATATGTGCATATACACCACATAGCACATACACTGTCATATGTATATCTCATGTCTTTCATCTTAGTTGCAGTAATGGAAGATTCTAGTACGTCAGAGATTGACAAGGAAGAGGAAGAGCAAACCACTCAAGTCTCTCACTTGGCCACTGGTAAGGCCCCAATACTTATTTATTTAGAACTGACACTTGATGTTTTAACCTCTTAATCAATACATCCAGTAGACTCTTTCAGTCCTCATTATTTTCGGCCTTTTGATTGATTAAGCATTCCCTTATCCCTCGACCTGTCCCTTGATCTAGTCATCTCCCTGGCTTCCCTGACTTGCTGTCTGGTCCTGTTACTCTGCTCACCACTCCTCCTGGTGTCCCTTCGCTCACGTCCCCTCCTTCTCTGACTTCTCTGTGGATTTGATTCTACTTCTCCATCCCTGGTTATTGCCTTAATCCTTAAAGAGTTTCCCCCTTCCCAAGAGTCTGTCTGTTGCCATCAAACAGAAGAGTTCCATACCTGCATTTCCAGAACATTCTCCTGAGCAAGAATCCCTGTTTCATTCCATTTCCCACATATCTCTGGCTGAATTTTCTGCCAGTTCCTCAAACCGAACATGGCTAAAAACTGAACAGCACCTTTTCCCACAAAAATCAACTTGCCCAAAGCATCACACAGGCCCAAAACCTTGGTTCATCCTTCCCTTCTGTGTGTGTGTGTATAGACACACACACATATAAAATCAACACGTTCCCAAAGAGTTTTGAGTCTTCTCTTTTGCCCGCAAGCACCGCCACCTCCTTGATGCAGGCCCCCATCACGTCCTGCATAAAGTATTGTAATGTCAACTTCTCCTCTTGCTGCGATTTTTCAGTATCCTACTATCAAAACGCTTCTCTGCACCCTCTACACCAGTGATCAGAACCCTCTATGGCTCACCATTCACAGCAAAGAGCCTGGGCCTCAACCCTCCACAGCTGCTCTCTACCACTACCTCTTTGGTCCTGTCTCTGTGATGTCCAGACCAGAATACACATTTTTCTCTGATAACTTTCTGTCTCATTTTGATGGCCCTGCCCTAACTGCCCCGATGGAAGAAAATCCACATTACTCTTCTCCTTACCCCTCCTTCAAGACCAGCATCCTCACTGAACATTTTCCTGACCAGTTCAGGGACCACTCCAGCATCGGAATCCCCGAACACATATTATACTAATGTGCGTGGGTCTAGAATCTGGCACAGCTATCTTACTGATGTTTGTTTTTTTAAATTGAAGGATAATTGCTTTACAATACTATGTTGGTTTCTGCCACACATCAGCATGAATCAGCCATAGGTATACATATGTCCCCTCCTTGAACCTCCCTCCCACAGCCCACCACATCCCATCCCTCTCGTTGTCACAGGGCCCCGGTTTGAGTTCCCCGAATCAAACAGCAAATTCTCACTGGCTATCTGCTTTACATATGGTAGTGTATATGTTTCCACTCTACTCTCTCCATTCGTCCCACCCTCTCTGTGCCCCCCTCACTGTGTCCATAGGTCTGTTCTCTATGTCTGCATCTCGACTGCTGCCCTGCAAACAGAAGCATCAGTACCATCCTTCTAGATTCCATATATATGTGTGAATATACGATATTTGTTTTTCTCTTTTTGACTTGCTTCACTCAGCATAATAGGCTCTAGGTTCATCCACCTCATTAGCACTGACTCAAATGTGTTCCTTTTTATGGCTGAGTAATATTCCACTATATCTATATCTATATATAATGTATCACAAATTCTTTATCCATTCATCTCTCAATGGACATCTAGGTTGCTTCCATGTCCTAGCTATTGTAAATAGTGCTGCAGTGAACACAGTGTCTTTTTCAATAATGGTTTTCTTGGGACTGCTGTTTGTTTTTATTAACCTCTTTTGTTTATATATAGAGAGAACTACTCCCTAAATCATAGGAGTGCCTTAGCAGCTCCAAGCACAATTTTCTCTGAGTAGCTGCACTCCTTAATGGCTTGTTAGTTGAGATGAAGGGGACCTTGAATGACATTCTGCAAATGTAGAGCCCCAAAAATCAGAGTACTAGAAAGATCTTTAAGAGTTCATATGGTTTATCTCCAGATGCCTTTACGGAGGACCACATTTAACCTAGCCAATATTAATGAAATTTCATTTTATTTTGCAGAGTTTTTCAAACTCCTTAGTAACTTACCTTGCTACTTAACTACACTTTGCTAAAAACTCCATTCCTTACAGCTAATTTGAACCCTATAACTATACTTCAGTATCCTCACATTTCCTCTAGAAATGAAAAATAAGTAGCCTGATATCTATGTAACTTGAAAACCTTTTTCAAATCATCCCATGAAATTGCTTTGTTTATATTCCTGTTGCTTATTTTCAGAGAATGAATAATGTGACTCTCTTTACCTTTAGGGTAAAGCTCTCCCTCGTCTTTTCCTCTCAGCTATTATCCTTCATAATATTTTGCAAATACTGTATATATTCCTCAGTGATCAAAAAACCCCTCAGCCTGTCTAAAGCCCTTGCATTTTCCCTGCAGAAGCAAATCGGCATTATGGGGGACTGACAAAGAAGAAGAGCGGTGTCCTGCTGCTGATCCTCGTGTCCTTCCTCATATTCATACTGTTCATCATTGTCCAGCTCTTCATCATGAAACTCCGGAAAGCACATGTGATATGGAAGAAAGGTGAGTGGGCAGAGAGCCTGACAGAGGCTCCAAGATGCTGAAGCCACTGGCCAGCCCAAAGCGAAATTCTGTCAATTAAAGCTCTTCCATTCAATGCTGTACCATCTGAGCAGTGTACCATTCAATGCTATACCATCTGTCTGAGCAGGATGTGAATTTCCAGGGATTATAGTCAAAGAATGCATGACCAAGAGAAACTAGAGTAGCTCTAGGAAATGGCATTAAATTGTGGATGCTTCTATTCACAAAAGGGTACCAAATAGAGAACATATTCATCCATTCATTCAATAAGCATTCAACGAACACCTACCATGTGCCAGGTACTCTTCCAGGCACTGAGAACACATCTGCCAATGAGGCAGACCAAACCCCTGTCCTCAAGGAGTTCCTATTCTAGGACAGATTGACCAGTCAAGGGTTGAATATGATAGACTATTTGTGGGCCCATTCTTACTCTGTAAGAATGCACTCAGCTTCCGTCAACCACATGTTCATAATTTTTCCTAAGCATTCCGATTTAAAAGTTATCATTGGAAACAAAAACAAAATTATTTAGCTAGCATAGAAGACACCTATTAAAATATATAGACTCAACATCAGAGACAGAAGAGACCTTAGAAGTTATCCAGAATAACAATCTGCTCTGTTCATTCCATAAATGTGTGCCAAGATTAAATCTCTTCTTTAATTCTGAGTGGTTATTTAGACCTGGACTATTCAATACAATGTAGTCATAATATGGCTAGTCAGCACATGAACTGTGGCTAGGCATCCTTGAGAGGTGCTGTAAGGATTAAATACACATCCAGTTTTGAAGACTCAGTTCACACACACACACACACACACACACACACAAGAATATGTCTAATAACAATACATTGAATCTACTAAATAAAACATATCAATTTCACCTGCTTCCTTTTACTTTTTATGATGGCAACTAGAAAATTGTAAATTATACATGTGACTTGCATGATGGTACTCTTGAACCCTGATGATTTAGCCATATACGTCTCATACACCTTCAATGACAGAGAACGTATTACGTTCTATGGCAAACTACTATTAATGCATCTTTGAATGGCTCTGACCCTTTTACAAGTGTTGCTTCTCACGTGGTACATTTATATGATGGAATATTACTCAGCCATTAAAAAGAATGAACTCAGGCCACTTGCAGCAACTTGGATGGGCCTAGAGAGGGTGGTCCTGAGTGAAGTCAGCCCGCCAGAGGAGGAGTCAGTGCACACCTTCACAGTGAAGCACTTGATATGACATCCCTTACGTGTGGGATCTAAAAACAAATGATCAAATGAACTCACTGACAAAGCAGAAAGAGACTCACAGACTTAGAGAATGGACTTATGGTTGCCAGGGGTTAGGATGTGGGGAAGAGAATAGTTAGGGGGTTTTGGATGGACATGAACATACTGCTATGTTTAAAATGGATAACCAGCAAGGACCCACTGTATAGCACAGGGAACTCTGCTCTATGTTATGTGGCAGCCTGGATGGGAGGGGAGTTTGGGGGAGAATGGATATATGTATATATATGGCTGAGTGAGTCCCTTCACTGTTTATCTGAAACCATCACAATATTGTTAATCAGCTATACCCCAATACAAAATAAAAAGTTGAAAAAAAAATTTTAAGTATTGCTTTTCCTAGTTTAATATATCTTTTGAGATATTCAGATGGACTAACATTTTTATCATAAACAGACCTACGTATAGGATCTGGCTTTCCAGTTGTACCCACACAACAGGCAATCGCCACAGTATTGTTTCAAAACCTCTCATTGAAACCTCCCCCTACCATACTTCTTTAAGTGTTACTAGAATTGTTTCTTCCAAAAAGACAATATTTGATTCTAATATGCTGTCATCTGACTTCTGCAACTCTTATACTGCATGGCACAGTACCTGTAGGAACCACAGTAAAGACTAAAAAATGATTTACTGAACTAACAAGTAATGAGGTACAGGGGAGAAAGTGGTAAGTCTACTATTGCATAAAAACAGGTACCGTCTTACTCAAACATACATTTCTAAATACAGATGATGTCCATGGCACCAGAAATCAATAACAATTTTTTCTTCTTGCAGAAAGTGAGATTTCAGAGCACACTCTAGAAAGTTACAGATCGAGGTCAAATAATGAAGAAACATCATCCCAAGAGAAAAATGGCCAAAGTAAGTCAACTATGGGACCTGAGACATGAAAAATGAGGTTCATTAACTTGTTGCCTTTCATGAGGAAAGGAAAAATCAAAGCTTGATCTTTAGCACAAGAAAAAGCAAATCACCTGAATCATTTCATAGAACTTAAGGAAATACACCTAAAAAAACAAAAAGTAGCAGTTAAGTTCACATAGCTGAATGTAAGCCCCTTTGGGAAGTCATCCCTGAGTCCTTGCTGTCACACACAGGTACATTTTGGGCTGTATACCCCTCCTGTGCACTACAGCATCCTATATACAGCTTTACCAATGAAGAACTTCCCCCACCAGACTGTCATTTTTGGTGTGCTAATCCATCTACCACAATACACCTCCAGGTGGTGAGCAATTGGATCTACTCTGTGTGTATCCTCAGATCCTAGCATAGGGCTTGCCACATCATAAGTGGAGAGTCTGATAAATTTGTATGGAATAAATGAATATAGGGCTTTCAAGGTGGCGCTAGTGGTAAAAACAAACAGACAAACCCGCCTGCTGATACAGGAGAGATGCAGTTTCACCCCTGGGTGGAGAAGATCCCCTGGACAGAGGTATGGCAACCCACTCCAGTATTCTTGCCTGGGAAATCCCATGGACAGAAGAGCCTGGCGGGCTACAGGCCAGGGGGTCGCAGAGAGTCAGACATGACGGACGCGACTTAGCTCTCACACAAATGAATATGAGGCTTAACAAATTCAAGCAGAAATGTTTCACGTCTTTTGGATTACTTTATTGCAGTTCTTCAAGCAAAATATGAAAAGAGAAATCTAAAAGTAGATTCAGTGTGTGTGTGCATGTGTGTGTGTGTGTACTCTTGACAAAGATAAAGTAGACAGAAGCCAGGAATATAGCACAGCAAGAATCTTATACCTTCCAACCACTGTTTCCTCCGTGTAAATTAACTTATTCCACCTGCCCAAAGTTGCAAGACAATGCAGTGAGCTTTGCCACTAGTTGCTATTGGTTTTCTTGAGGTTTTATAAGAAGCATTTCTTTTATAACACCTCTGGCTTTTTTCTGTTTTGACCTAGCAAGGTGTGAAATGGAAAGAAAGACTAGCTGTAGTACTAGGAAGAGAGGCACGAGTGAGCAGGGTGTGTGAGACCCAGGGTGGGAGAGGAAATGTGGGTCAGCTGCCTACAGGCTGTTATACTGCAACACGTGTTTCTATGACGTCAGTATAATGTGTAATTGGGGTTGTTTCCTATACCCATTAGGCAAGGGGAACAGAGCAGTGGGTGTAGCTTTGCTGTTCGCCTGAAACCATCACAACATTGAGAATTGGGTATACCCAATGTGCAGGCTCAGTTGCCCACTTGTGTCAACTCTTTGTGACCCCATGGACTGTAGCCCACCAGGCTCCACTGTCCATTGGATTTTCCAGGCAAGAACACTGGAGTGGGTTGCCATTTCCTCCTCCAAGGAATCTTTCACACCCAGGGATAAAACCTGTGTCTCCTACGTCTCTTGAACTGGCTGGTGGGTTCTTTACCACTATACCCCAATACAAAATAAAAATTTCGGAAAACAACAACAACAACAACAACAACAGTGGGAGTAAAATTGTAACCTTTAGCAGGAAAAGTCCTCGGTTCAGCTGCTGAGCAAGCAGAGCCCTTTAATTCACCTTTAAGAAAGTTTAAAATGAGCATTTACATAGAAGAAATTAACACATTATAAATCAACTATTAATATATTTCACTAAAATATTTTTTAAAAATTTAAAAAATAGAATAAGTCTGTGCACTCAGGACTCCCTACCCAGAAAGGTCTGTCCCCTGCCCCAATACATACTCCCTGGGGTGGGACGATTGCCACAGCTGTGGGAGGTTGCACTGTCTCCAGGGATCTGATGCCCCACTTTCATCCTCCTTCCCTCAGCTCCCTCAAATCCAGCATTTCAACTCTATCATTTCTGCTCATTGTCTTCTGGAGACACTTCTGTACACTTCGTGTACAGAGCTGCATGAGCTTTCAGTGAGCTGCCCCAAACCTCTTATCCCATAAGTCCTTTTACTTTCAGTATGAAATCATGTTAAAGGCAATGTATTTTTTTTTCCAGCAACACATCCGTTATTTGATAGCAGAGATGTCTATATACCTTATTTCAGGTTTATGAGCATAATGTTTACATAAGGCTTTTTGAAAATTAGGCTGTAACGGAGCATTCAAGACCATGTATACACAGCAGTGAATTTCAGATTTTAGTTTTTTAAGACATTAACATTCAGACCTACAAATACCACAAGGCGATCCGTGTGTTTTAAATAAATGGGCGCAACAATGTTCAAACTAACTGTTTGGGTTTGCCACGTTTTTCTTTCAGCTTCCCGCTCTAGGAGCTGCATAAACTACATCACACAGTTGTACTCGGAGGCAAAAACAAAGACGAAGGAAAAGGCACAACCTTCAAAATTAAAAGGAGAGCTGTCTCATATACCAGAAAGCATCGTGTAGGGAGCCTTGCAACAGAAAATAGGATTTCAGGGCAGCCTCATCCTCACCTCGATGGAGCAGCCTGTGGGAAGGCGCTTAATTACCGTCATATGAGAAACGCCCTTCGAGTGCAATGCAAGATGGCGTCCCCCAGTGGTAAACCACCCCGGGACTCAGAGCAAGAAGTGAGGACTAACCCATGGACATAAAGCTTTGTAGTTTAAAAGAAGAGAAGAGAACTTATTATGCCTGACACTACTTCAGAGCGGGAGGATTCTACTAATCTTTGGGATCAGGGTCAATGTGATCAGCTAACATTCTTACTGTAAAGGAAACAGATTTTAGATGCTGGGCTCCAGTGGAACTACTTAAACATTAAAAAAAAATTTTTTTTTTAAATCTTTCTTTCTTGTTTCCAAATAAAGATCTTTGGGATGAAAAGGACCCAAAGAAGGTCTCTAGTCCTACGAGCTGACTTTCAAGATGGACTTTAAGCAGCTGTAACCAGTTCATGCCCTGTCAGGGAGAAGTCATGAATGAGTCAGATGAACATGAAGGTCCCAAAGATCATGCCCCAAGACCTAAGGGTAGTTCAAGGCAGACCCAAAGATTCCATGTTCTTAGAATTGTCTTGCTAAATCACAGTTGTTGACCTGGTAGACCATGTTTCTACCAGGACACTTCATTACAAAGACATGTACAAAAGAAAATAATGAGTTGAATTTCTTGATGACTGATTATGCTTTTTAAAAATTATTTAATAAAGAGCTGACTATGTATTTGTGTTTCTAGTGGTTGTTCCAAGGTGTACTTCCTCCCTTCGCTTTTACACATGAAAATGTGTGAAAACATTTATGACATGTCTCATTCTTTGGGTCTGAATAAACTATTTCTAAAATAATACCACCTGCAGTCCCCACCTCTCCCTGCACTGCTCTACCACACATAAAATTTATGAGTTTGTATGTTACAGAGGCCAGATCCAGCTGTGATTTTTTTTTCTTGTGATAATTTTTTTAAAAACAGTCACAAAATTACTGAAAGGCATAAGGACAGAATGAAGTGCTTTCGCCTCTAATCCAGGGGTCCCCAACCTCTGGGATCTAAAGCCTGGTGATCTGAGCTGACGTAATAATAATAGAAACAAACTACCCAATAAATGCAATGAGCATGAATCATCTCAAAACCATCCCCATCTCCCTGGTCTATGGAAAAATTGTCTTCCATGAAACCTGTCCCTGGTGCCAAAAAAAGTTGGGGACCGCTGCTCTAAACCAGTGTAAGTTGACATGATGACTCTTTAGGCAGGAGTAGGATCCTATCTCATTCCTTACATATAACTTAAGGTAGTGTTTCATGTTTCCTTGTTTCTGCTCATTGGAAAATGGAGCTAAAGAATAAGAAATCTCTATCCTTCTTAGTTTTACCTTTCGGGGATTAAGTCAAAAAGATGCTTATTTTACTTCTTTTCAAATGACTCAAGAAAAACCAAACCAAAATTCTCTGACTGCGAGCATCTCTCATTAGGTAAAAATAACAGAGAGAAAAATCCTACTACCCAACAGACTGAGTACACATCAAATAGGGAGGCTCCCCTCAGAGGAAGAGGACAGTTGAACTGCTAGTCATTCACAAGGTCACTAATTTTAACCCAATAACATAATTTCCTGTTACCTCCCCCAAGTGAAGTCATGGTACTTTGCTATATTTATAATAGCGTTTTGATCTAGCTGAAATGCAATTCTATTTTTACAGTGTTGCACCTACTAAGAGAGAAGCCCTTTTCCTTCCTATAATGCCTTCATGAGCAAATTTGTCATCACTGACCGTTACTCTGCTGCTGCTGCTGCTAAGTCGCTTCAGTCATGTCCAACTCTGTGCGACCAAATAGGCGGTAGCCCACCAGGCTCCCCCGTCCCTGGGATTCTCCAGGCAAGAACACTGGAGTGGGTTGACGTTTCCTTCTCCAATGCATGAAAGTGAAAAGTGAAAGGGAAGTCGCTCAGTCATTTCCGGCTCTTAGCGACCCCATGGACTGCAGCCCACCAGGCTCCTCCGTCCATGGGATTTTCTAGGCAAGAGTACTGGAGTGGGGTCACTGCCTTCTCCAGACCATTACTCTAGACCTGTTCAAATATGATAATTTTTCCCACCTTTTCTGTGCTACATCTCATTTTCACATACAAGCAAACCAAAACTAAGGCAATAACAACTTTTTATATTCTCCCCAAATGCCTCAGTTTATTTTTTTAAGAAGATATCTTGCCTAACTGTAGAGAGACTTAGCTTTGTGGAAGCACCTTGTATTGACATTTAAACACAGAAAATAACTCTGCCAGATCTTTTGCAATCCCCTGAAAGAATTAGTCACATTTTTTAATTAAGATAGGATACCTCTTTTGAGCCAGGCCCTGATTTGTGAAATAAAAATTGTGTCCCATTAGAAAAATACTAGACTCTGTGACTTTCAGTGTGGTTTGAAGGAGACTAAGCCTCAGAGATCCAGATGAAAATTTCAAATGAAGCTACCCCTTTGACTAGAGATAAACATCAAATCAATAACTAATATTACTCTTTATTGTTATTATTTTTTTTTTTTTTTGGCCATGCTGCAGCTTGTGGAATCTTAGCTCTGACCAGGTACTGAACCCAGGACTGCCAGGGAATTCCCTAAATATTATTCTCTACAATGGGGGGTGTGCTCTCTTTCTTTTGCTTTTCCATAATTCTTTATTCCCAAGTTGTGGTTAGTTGGTTTTGGTCACAGAATAACTTCCTGTATCTTAAGCTTCCTCATCTGTAAAATGGGGATAAAAATTCCCACCACACAGGATTAGTGTGAAGGCTAAATGAGATAAGAGTACTAGTTTCTTCCTGTACTAGTTTAAGAAACAATGGCATAGAGACCACTAAATCCTGGGTCTACTTACTGAGAACATCCTGGTAACTGGATATACAGAATTTTAACTTTACAGCTAATAATGCACACAGGCACTGCTATTGAAGAAAAACACATATAAAAGCTTTTGATGAACTCTATCACCTCATCTCATAATAAAATAAGCAGCAATTAGAAGAAAATGTATTAATACTGATGCTGTAAAATAAAAATTTTATATGCGATAAAGGTGGTATCTCAAATGATTTTTGAAAGAAAAGATCAACATTTTACTAACTGGGCAGCCATATAGAAAAGGCAAAACTTGATAAAGACATCATAAACCAAAAATAAAATCCAAAGAGATGGAATATTTAAAAATACAAATGAAACCATAGAAATACCAGAAAAAAATAGGTTAATTGGTCTATAACCTGGGAGTGGAATAAACATCTCTTATCATGACTCAAAATTCAAAAATATGAGAGAAGAAGAGTGATAGCTTTGACTATATAAAAAATAAATGCTTCATGGCAATTAATAAATAGCAAGTGAAAGACTGGGGGAAAAGTGGTAAAATCCTTAAACAGCTTCTAAAAATAAGAAAAACAATACCACACCAGAAAAAGAACAAGGGAAAAAGGCAAATTGTATAACATGTATAACATGTATAATAATGTATAACAAGTATAACATGTAAAAAGTATATAACAAGGAAATTCAAATGGTTAATTGCAGGTTGGGGCAATAAATGCATAACTGGAGCCTGGAACATTTAATACTGGAAAGCAAGAAATTATCAGAGACAAATCACTTTTAGAGATTGCTCAGATAAAAACTCTTTAATCTGAAGTTTACAATACATTTGCAATAACTTGTAAAGTCATTGTGTAATAAAAACAACCATAAGTACATGAAAAGATGCTCAGTATCATTAGTCATTGTTGCTGTTGCTCAGTTGCTAAGTCCTTTTCTGATCCCATGAACTGCAGCCCACTAGGCTCCTCTGTCCATGGGGCTTTTCCCAGCAAGAATACTGGAGTGGGTTGCCATTTCCTTCTCCAAGGAATCTTCCCAACCCTGGGATCAAACCCATGTCTCCTGCACTGGCAGGCTAATTCTTTACCAGTGAAACTCCAGAGAAGCCCCGCCATTAGTCATTCAGTTCAGTTCAGTTGCTCAGTTGTGTCCGACTCTTTGTGACCCCATGAACTGCAGCACGCCAGGCCTCCCTGTCCATCACCAACTCCCAGAGTTTACTCAAACTCATGTCCATCGAGATGGTGATGCCATCCAACCATCTCATCCTCTGTCGTCCCCTTCTCCTCCTGCCCCCAATCACTCCCAGCATCAGGGTCTTTTCCAATGAGTCAGCTCTTCGCATGAGGTGGCCAAAGTACTGGAGTTTTCAGCTTCAGCATCAGTTCTTCCAATGAACACCCAGGACTGATCTCCTTTAGGATGGACTGGTTGGATCTCCCTGCAGTCCAAGGGACTCTCAAGAGTCTTCTCTAACACCACAGTTCAAAAGCATCAATTCTTCGGCACTCAGCTTTCCTCACAGTCCAACTCTCACATCCATACATGACCACTGGAAAAACCATAGCCTTGACTAGATGGACCTTTGTTGGCAAAGTAATGTCTCTGCTTTTTAATATGCTATAAGTATATACAAATCAAACCTACAATGAGACAGAACTTCTCACAAGGATGGCTATCATAAAAAGAGTCAGACAATAACAGATGTTGGAAAGGACATAGAAAAATTGGAACCCCCAGAGATTACTGACAGGAATATAAATATTTCAACCACTTTGGAAAGCATTCTTGAAGTTTTTCAAAAGTCCAACAGAGAGTTTCCATATGCTCCAACAGTTCCATTCTGAGGTATATATGGCCACAATGATAACTAGACTAACCATGGTAATTGCTTTGAAATGTATATAGAGATACCAAATCACTGTGTTGTGTACTAGGAACTAACATAGTGTTGTAGGTCAGTTATACTTTAAAAACAAATAAACCCATAGAAAAAGAGACCAGATTTGTGGTTACCAGAGGAAGGAAATGGAGGAAGGAGGTACTGAATGAAGGTAATCTAAAGGGACAAACTTTTAGTAATAAGATAAGTAAGCCCTATAGG